TTGCAACTGTTTCTAAAGGAATTATCCCTCAGGACTCAGAATAATAAATAAAACAGTCTCCCCTCAAGACCCATTGGATCTCTATCCAATGCTAGCCTTAAGGAAAAGTCTCAGGACCCTATATGAAAAAAAATTAAACCCAAAAGGTCTGGAGTAGTAGAGTGTTTATCTAGCAAGTTTAAGGCCCTCAGGGCTCTGGAAATAAAAGAGAGTGAAGAATATTTTCACAAATCAGAATGGAAATCATTTTTAACCTAAAATTCTTCCCAGAAAAGTTATCAGTAACATAATAGTGAAGAAACACTACCAAAATGAGGGAATAAATCACCAAAAAAGAACAGATGAGATCCAAGTAAAAGGGATCAACAAGTCATAGGCAAAAAGAAAAATAGGCCAATGAAAATAATTTCTAACAACAAATATAAATATTCAAAGAAAAATAAAATACATTGTATGACTCAGGAATAATGTTTATATTGACTTAATGTAAATTATGAATACTTATTTGACAAACATGTAACTACAATAGTGAGAGGAGATAATTTAAGGTAAGTTGTGTTTTGTTTGAGGGGTGAGGGAAGATATATATGGACTCTTGTTAAGTCTGTCAAGAAATGATTTTCTTTCATTTACAGTGAATTCCTAGTACCTAAATCAAGGCTCTGCATATAGTAGATCCAAAATTATTACATATCAAATGAATAAAGCTTTCTCATATGGAATATTTCCTCTAAGAATTTTGTCAGAAATAGTAAGTTGCATAAACTTCAAAAGCTGCAGTGAAACCCATCTCTCTAAAAATTTATGACTATAACATTCACAATTTAAAAGTATATATAAGATGAGCATCAAAATATTTAAGAGGCACTTTAAAAGTCAAAGATTTTCCTAGGAAACTGTTCTGTGTAAATCCTTGTGCTAGTTAGGTTGATTGAAGATGTCTTCAAGCTCAGTTCCAAGGAAACCAAGATGCAATTTTCTCAATTTGAAAGCAAATTATCTTATTGACTTTTTTCCCCATCCACTCACTAATATAATACCAGGATGGGCTTAGGGAAATTGCTTTGTTTTGCTTTTCAAGCTGGTGGATTTCTAGAGGGAAGCTCTAAGTACTTACCTTGTGCTGGTTTCCACAAAGTTTCACAAGAACAGAGATTCCTTTAAATAAATAAAAAGAGGCATGTCTCTGGATCAGCTATAAGCTTTTCCACCTAATAATTTCAATTGTGTCTGCTGTCCAGATCAACTTTGGCTGTACATTTACAATTTAGACTAATGATCCTGTCCATTTATTCTAATGGTTGGTCCATTTATTTACCACCTCATTCTTCAGTTTTTGTTGAGTTACTGTGCTCCCACTATGCTCTATGAACTGCTGTTCAAAGACATTTGCGGAAGAAGAAAACTAGGTCAAATAATTTTGGGTGTTAGGAACTAAAAGAGCCCATCCCGTTGGCAACCAAGAAGATAAACCAACTGGCCCGACCAGGTATATCCATTCTTGCCAGAGCACCAGGATGCCTTGGTGCCTATATAGAAACTACTGCCTACACTTCCTGGATTAAGAATGCATGCCTGGCCACCTAACTTGTCTGTAAAGTAGGGTACACCTGCCTTAAGAAAAGTTCTAGTGTCAGAGATCTGGTCTTTGGAGATCATGCTAGTTTTCCAGCTTCCAGTTCCCAAAGTTCCAAGGTCTTTCCACTTAATATTTTGGGGCTTCTCAAGATGCTGAATAGGGGACTTTCCTGTGCTTCCCACTTGTTTTCTGAGTTCCACATTCCATTGATGACTCAGAAGGGACTGGAGTGCTAGGACTCTGGGTGTGGGACCTTCTTGTCATGTGGAGAGTACTGGAGGGTGGGGAGCTGCTGGGCTACCAGCTCTTCCAGATCTCAAGGATAGTGGTGGTGGTCTGGGAAGTCGTGTAAAGGACAGAGGCCACAGGCCAGCAGCCCATCCCAATATCGCCTTTCTGGTAGGCAGTCCCTCTCAGGGGCCAGAATCCAGAGAGGAGATATAAATGTGTCTTCTCTTATAAGGGTTTGGTAGAAAGGTCCCTGAGAATAGGCCACTTAGGTAACCCTCATTGCATTCAAAAGTGGACCCAACAATTTGGGTGTAGAGAGACCTCATTATTATGTGGAAGAATCCTTTAGAGAGCAGCCATGGTGCCTGGCATGAAATCACAAGGGTACTGGGAGGCCTCCTGTCTGGCTTCCTGCTCAGCCATGTTCCTGCAGGAAGTAGCAACTTTTGCTGCCCATCCTGCCTAGGTGCTGTCTGCACACCATATTTGCAGGCTAGTGGCAGGAGTTACTGGCAATCCTTCCTCTCCCTCCCTTCTTGCTTCCTTCCCTCCTCCCTACCTCTCCTTCTCTCCTCCCCCTCTCTTTTCTTTCCCTCTTTCTTCCATCCCTTCTTCCCTCCCTCCCTTCCACCTTCCCTCCCTCCTTCCCTTTCTGTTCTTTTGTTGGGGATAGGGTGGAGTAAGTGGAGGTGTCATTTGGAGTTATGCTTCTTTATGATCCTTGCCCCATAAGTTGACTCTTGACATGAAAAAAGTAATCCAGAGGACCTAGATAGACATGGTGATCCTTTCTGACATACAGAAACTCTGAGTATTGGCCATGTGCATCCTTAGCTTTTGGCTAAGCCTCTTGATCCTGACCTGCACTGCACCCTGGTTTAGGTTTTCTGCAGCAATCAAACTCTGAAGATCAAACCCACCAGAAGCTAGGGGCTTCCCTTTACCACTGCCACCTGCAACCTTCCCCAGATCCTTGAGCCAGAGATGCATCTTTCTGAACCCAGGAACTGGGAGAGGGGACAGGGTGGATTGGCATTAAGAAAAAAGAAAGATGCTGTCCTTTTGTGTGTATGTGTGTTTGTTAATGTGGTCTGCATGTGTGGGGTGCAACTCGGGACCCCCAGCCTGTTCCCTAATGCAGGCTTATCCTTTTGCAGGAGGTTGGTGAGGGCGAATGTATTCCAGAAAACGCTGAGTGTTGGGGAATGTCTGTGTGAGTGTGAAGAAAGACCCAGCAGGTGGCTGGGGTCCAGGTCCCAGAGCAAGCATGTGTGAAAGTTACAGGCTGCCAGGCTGCCGCTAGTGCAGCCCCACTTGCTTCTCTGGAGGCGGGGCTGGGGTGGGCCTTAGTTAGGCTTCGGTGCACTTAGTTTTTAGCTCTTAGGAGCTTCAGCTTCAGGGCAGCAGTAGGAGAAAGGGGAGGAAGAGCGGCGGCCCTCGCCTCGCAGCTTGGCAAACATTAGGTTGGAGTGAGGGATGCAGAACCCACGGTCTGGAATTTGGAGACACGCAGTGGGGGAGGACGTTGCGGAGCCTTCTGTGCAGGCAGGGACAGCTTAGCCTCTCTCTGGTTCTCTTCTGAGGCAGAGGAGGTTTGGAATCAAAGCCATCTTCTTCGAGAGTCTTGAGCCTTAGTGCACTGGGTTAGGAGTGGGGGTATCTCAGGTGGAATCCCGGATCAGAGATGATTGTTTTATTTCAAGGACCCTTCCCTGCTCCCTCGCTCATCCTTCTTGGTTATTTCTGCTAAGTTTCATTTAGAAACCAGGGCTACTGTTGGACCTTCCGGTTGGAAGGACTCTCCACTGGCAGGGCGAGTAGAGGTGCCGTTTTGGAATGCAGGCATTCAGGAGGTGAACAAAGCTCTAGCTTTGCACTGCGAAAACTGCCGAACTCTCCCCAATTTGCCCCCCTCCATCCCCGCCCCCTTTTTTAAGAATCTACTCTCTTCCTGCTCCTCAGAAATGACCTCAAAGCAAATACTGGGAGCGGACAGTCCTTTCCACTGAGCATCTCTATAGAGTGGGCTATGACGCAATCGGAGCTCGGTCGGTCCTCTGATTGGCCGGTCCTGGCCACTTTGGATTGGTGGAGCGCACTGGTGGGACCCTCCTTCCCGATAGCGCTGGAATAAGAGCTCGGGGCTGGGAGAAGGCGCCCACAGCAGACGTTGTGCTCTTTCTCCGTGGACTGGCCACTGCCCACTCACACAGTCCTGAAATTCACATCACCAGGTGAGGCGCTTCTCATTCTGCTCACTCCTGCAAACTGCCTCTCTCAATTTGTACTTCTTCATTTGTCTGCTTGCCTGCCTCTGGTTTATTTCTCCATGCCATTTCCACTTATACTTCTGGGGGGTCGGAGCTCTTTTCTTGGATGGGGAGGCAGCTATTGGGGCTATGCTGGCATTAAAAAAAAAACAAACTAGAGTGGAACTCCGGCATGCTCAGGACTCTGTCATGATGCTGGGATCTGGGTGAGTTCACCTAGAGGTGCCCGTGGCTCCTGTTTGGGGGTGGTTGGCATGTAGGGAGACCCAAGTCATCTGTGTTCCTGGGAATCACGTTGATTGCAAGGATAGTGGAGAGCTGAGCTTTCCTCAGAGGCAGCTCCAGGCTGAGAGCATCCCAGGGACAGCAGTCTGGTTCTATGGCAATAGTGTTTGTAATCAGAACAGTGGGCTCACTGGTCACTGTGTGAAGTGTGGGCGCCCAGCACCCTCTGCTAAGCTGCATTGTTGCAGTTCTGAGACATCTATCACTAGCACCTTAAATTTTTCCCCAAATCCACAGATGGAAAGATTAGCTCTCTTTTTCAATGTACCCCTCCCTTCTCCCTTACCCCATACCACCAGCAGAGAAGGTGGTCCTAGGATGTTCTGTCATTAAAAAGACCAGCAATTAGGGGAACAAATCTACAGCAGGGTGGGTTGTGAAAAGAATGTGTGTGTCTGTTGTGACTTTTCCCTGTTCTACCACAGAGGAAACCCTAATTCTACTCATCTCCTTGTTCTGCCATGCCTTTTGCTACAATATATCTTTTGGGATTCATAGCAGCCCTCTTGGAAAATAAAGTAATGGATGTGCCAAGAGGTGAAGTAACATGGCAACTAAGGCAGAAGCAGGATTAGGACCTAGGTCTGTGGTCTTGATGCTATGGTAATGTCATTCTCCTTTTACAGAGAAACAAAATGGGCTTCCGGAAGTTCTTTCCCTTGCTGGCTCTCAGCATCTTGGTCTTATGCCAGACTGGCAACCTCCAGGCAGCACATTTCAGGTGAGACAGTCTGAAGCCAGAAGCTCACTCTTCTTCTGCTCTCCTTCCACAGACAACTCTGTGGCTCTGGAGTTACACTTGGCTTTGGTAAATCAGTGCCCTCAGGTGGACACTGGTTTTGTGCCCTGTCTACTGGGATCTGGAAAACCACATCCCCTGTGGTAGAAACAGACGCCAGCAAGCTTGGCTGCTTATCCTGAGGGAGGGGAGGGAGCAGGGAGTGGCTCAAAGCCCACACTGGGTCTGGTCTGTTTCCCCTCTGCAGATCTGTTTTAGAGAATAGCCCAGACCTGTCTACCCTTAATGAGGAGGATGCACGCCTCCTACTGGCTGAACTGGTGCAGGACTATGTGCAGATGAAGGCAAGGGAGCTGGAGCAGGAGCAGGAGCGGATGCTAGAACAGGAAGCAGAAGACTCCAGGTAAGTCTTCTCACCCTATTTTGATATATCCTGGAGGACTCATCCAGAGAAGTAGGGCAGAAACATTATTAGTCAAGAGTCCAAAGGCTTACCTTGTTCATCACGATCTGGGTCCCAGCTATTGTCAGTCTCCTTGGAAAACACAGTTTTGATGCAGCTAGAGGGACTCTGGTTAGATTCCTTAATATCACTCACTTCTGAAAATTATTGGGAAAGGAGATAGAAGAGTATTCACTTAGTCTGGGAGTTGGTCTTGAAATGCTGGGGAGACATCCTTTCACTGAATGAATTATAAATTAGGACTGGTAAGTATAAAGACAGAAGCTGGATTTGATGTCTCAGGAGGTTTTAGAAATTCAGCTATAATTTTTTTCACCCCCACAATGAGCCTTTGATTTAATTTTTTGTCAGTGGCGGGGCTTGAAATCAGGGCCTGGGCACTGTCCGGGAGCCTCTGTGTGCTCAAGGCTAGTGCTCTACCACTTGAGCCATAGTGCCACTTCCGGTTTTTGAGTGGTTAATTGGAAATAAGAGTCTCATGGGGACTTCTATTCCCTGGCTTGCTTGTAACTAACTGCAATCCTCAGATCTCAGTCTCCTGAGTAGCTAGGATTACAGGTATGAGCCACTGGTGCCACCCAGTTTTGCTGACTATGATAGGTCCGGGACTCTGCAGAGCTGTGCATGTTGTCCCTGGGTCAGGGAGGGCACCCTTCCACAGCTCTACCTCCCTGTGTGCCTTGAGCCTAGAAAGAGACCAGCCCTAGACTCATCCCAGCACTACCTAGGTGGAGGCATGTGGGGACCTGCATCTACCCTGAGAAGTCCCCTGCCAAGCATAGAGCATACTGAATCCTCCCCATAGTAGAGCTATGAGCTGCCTTCCTGTGCTTCCTGCCTTAGCTTGAAATCCCCCTGCCTGGCCTAACCTTGTGCTGCTGAGAGCAGCATGGCACTATCTGGCATGTCTTTTCCCTGCAGCTTGGACAGATCCAAGATCTAAGCAGTGTGAGAATGTGGGTACTTGTGTGCTGGTATGAGTCTGCGGTACCTGAACAACTTTCATAGCTTCTCTGGCATCAGCTTCAGTCTTGAAACAACATGCAGGAAATGAGATGTAGCAAGAAGTTTGCAGACACACCACTTCTCTCACTTTCGATCTCAGGGTGCTACCTGATCTTCTCCCACTCCTTCTTGGTTTCCTTTCTTATTCCTAATTGTGAACTTGATGCATATTCCTCTCTGATTGCTCAAGCTGGTGATGATAGCTTTGTCAATGACTGAGAAGGTTCAGAACCTCTGGATGGAAAGGGAGAGAGAAGTCATAGATCAGAGGTGAGAAACTGGGGGAATTCAATGAACCCCTCATAGGCTTTTACAACAGAGTTGTCTAATCACTGCTTCTAGAATCAACATATCCTTCATGCTTCCCATTTTATAAATATATTTTTCTAAAAGGCCCTGAGCCTGGTGGACCTGGTTTTGGTCCATGAGCCACGCTATGCTTAGAAAGAGGAAGCCTTAGGCTGCAGGGCAGCTGGATACAGGGTTCTGGAGGCCATCTCTATGACTCAGTTCAAGCAGCAAGAACAGATAGCCAAGGAGCAGGTAAGCACTTTTGGGATAGGATATGGCACACCCTCTTCTATGAGCTTCTTCCAGATAAGACCTTTGTGTTTGTGTATGTATGTGTGTGCCACACTTTTGATCGTTTTGGGCAGAAATCTTAGTAAAGGCTGTCAGTCCATTTCCCCCAAAGCTTTGGTAATTGCACTTCGGAGAATCACTGATTGTTTTTTTTTTATTTTATTTGTGAAGATACTGTACAGAGGGGTTACAATTACATGGGCAGGATAATGCGTACATTTCTTACCAAGCATTGCAGCCTCCTCCTTTTGTTTACCCTTCACATCCCTTCCCAGCCTCCCCCCTCCCCCCCAATCCCAATCTTTCTCCTTCCCCCCTTCCCCCCCCCACACCAACGTTGTAAAGCTCGTTTTGGACATGACAACTTGTACTTCTCATTGTTGCAATAGGTCCACCTGTATCTTTAACCACTTGTTTTTTCCCCTTTTCTTCTTCAGTTTTACTGACATCAAATATAGTGAAAGCAGGGGTTATACTGTGGGGGAGGGACATACAAAGCAACAAAGAGATAATCTTATAAGTGCATTAGAAACACATGCATGAAAGAAAAAACATTAAGATACATATCTAAGGGTTCAATTTCCTGACATCACATTATCTGACCTTTTCCGCTTGACTCATAGATATACTAGATATTGCAAATAAGGGAAACCATGGGACCTATGTTTCTTTGGGCCTGGCTTACTTCACTTAATATAATTTTTTCCAAGTTTTTCCATTTCCTAACAAATGGGGCAATGTCATTCTTTCTGATGGAGGCATAGAATTCCATTGTGTATATATACCACATTTTCACTGATTGTTAAGTGGTGTGTGGAAGTACCGTGGGGGGCAGGCTCATCCCCACCATCCTCACTGTCATGCCTTGTTTTCTTTCTCTGTTCTGAAAATCAGCATCACTGCCCATAAGAGAGCCTGCAACACTGCTACCTGTGTGACCCACCGACTGGCAGGCTTGCTGAGCAGATCAGGGGGTGTAGTGAAGGACAACTTCGTGCCCACCAATGTAGGCTCCAAAGCCTTTGGCCGCCGCCGTCGCCGCAGGGAACTTCAGGCCTGAGCACCTCATGACTCCAGGAAGAAGGTGACTGCCTTGTACTATGGGTGGGGAGAGGAAGGATTTTGGAGGTTGAAATCCATATTTTGTAATTCACTGACCCTGGTAGGGTCTTTAGGGCCCTTCTCTCTAATTCTATTCCTCCTGAAGCAGTGAGTTCCTTCTAGACGTGAGCTTGATATCAGACTGCTAGGATAGGCTTTAAAGATGCCTGTCATTTTTTTTTTTCTGAGAAGAGACGTAAAGTGTATATTTGATGGGTTGGAAAGGGGAGGACCTGGTAGGCCTTACTGAGGGCTACTCCTCATGAATAAGTCACTTTCAGAAAAGACTTTACCTTTGGTCAGTGTTCACAGATCCAGACTACAAAGCCACCACCATTCCACTACTAACATTAATAGTAACAGTTGAATTATCTTTATTTACCTTATAAGCTTCCTTATACCTCATAGTCTCCATTTATGAATGTGATGTGGTAAAACAGCCATTTAGATAAATTAGTGTTCTGTTCAGTGATAATTGTGATTATTCACTTCTTATTCTTTCCCTCCTCTTCTTCTTTACCCTTCTCTTCTTCCTTCTTTTCATTTTTTCTTCCTCTTCTTCCTTGTTAAAATTGTTGCTTTTATCTCAGGTCAGCATGAAGTTGAACTCACCACTTCTATTAACTTGTGTTGACAACAACTTGGTAAGAAGAACCCAAGGAAGATACACATGTTTGCATCCTTATAGATAATGGGAAAAAATGCACCTTGGTCACTTGAAAGGAATGAAACTGAATGTAAAATAAGCTAGTTCCATATTTGTTGTGCATCATTTTATATTGATTCTATGTCCAATAAATGTGATGGTATCTCCCACTGGCTTATCTGGTAGTAACCTGGTTCTTTGAGAGCCATCCTGTTGCTCATAGAAGCTCTGCTGAACCTTAAAGGGACATGAAATCACTGCCTCTTGTAGCCTCTGGAGACTTATGGTCATGGTGATGCTGTGCCTTGATGTTGAAGAATATGATTGTATAATTTAAGGAAGTGTCAAAATTGTGCCATTTGTGAACTTCATCAAGATTAAAAACATATTTTGGATACAATCGTTTCAAGTCCATGGTGGTGATTCATTTCAATTCCTTTTTCTATGTAATAATAATAATGATAATATTGATGACTAATATTTTAATTCTTATTGTGGGCCAGATGATGTTCAAAGACAGTACTTTGTACCTGTGAATTCATTTAATATTCATGGTAAAGCCAGGGTAGATATTATTCACCTCACATGTGAGGAAACAGTCATGGAGAAATTAAGTCCAACTTACAGTTAGACACCTGACAGATCTGGGTTCTTGTCAGAGCTTACAATTGAAATCACCACTGGCTCTTTTACAGTAATGGCTCTTGAAGTTCTCCAAAGAGAACTTCTTTTGCTTACCTTCCCCACATGGTAGATACTCAGATTTTGGAGACATGAAAATTTTAAACATACAAATCACCTAGGTTTTATACACTGAGTTCTTTGTACCCCTGCCTTGGCTTCAAGAGTAATACGGTCAATAGTTGTTACAGCTACATACCATCTACTTCCCAATCCCCAATGTAATATGTCAGTACCCTCATAAATTATTTCTCCACATATTTTTAAGTGGGAAGGACTCTAAACATGACCAAAATACTATTTACTAAAAAGAAAATTTTATTTTTCTTTTGTACCAGTACTTTGTCTTGAACTCAGGGTCTCGGGATCTTGTTGACTTTTTCTCAAGCCTGATGCTCTACTACTTGAGCCACAGCTCCACTTCTGGTTTTTCTGCTGGTTAATTGGAGACTGGTTAATTTCCTGGACTGGATTCAATCTGTGATCCTTAGATCTTAGTCTCCTGAATGGTCAGGATTACAGACATGAGCCAAGTGCCTGGTTATCTTGATTTCTTAATTTTTTAATATCACATACTCATACAGAGCCCAACTCTCCTAATTATAAAACATATAAATATATAAAATATGGGCCTCTATAAGGTCTTTTTGCTTCTATTTGATGTCTTGAGGTTCAAAAAGTTCCCTCCTCTTCCTTGCAGTTTATTGGTTGGCAAGACTAGATCATATGTCCGGTACTTTCCAAGATTCTGGATTCGGATGACTGCATTACTGTAGTGAGGCTTAGCATGCATGTCTTGTGTGTCAGATCTAGTGTGAGTGATAGGGAAGAGAAATTAGTGAAATGGGAAGAAGAGATCATATAGGACTTTGTAAGGCAAGGGAGATATTTTGACTTTCAATCATTCAAGTTGTAGTCAGGAAGACAAAATGCATCAGTATTTTGACAGAATTTGCCATAGGCATGGACTAAGTAGGTATTTAATACTGAAAGGTAGAAGAGAACAAGAGGTGGTTTGGAAGTAGTAACTGTAGGAGGTAGCTGCCACCCACAAGGCTAGTGAAACAAAGGAAAATTCTGGGGTCGTTAGAACTGAGATTGAGTGAAGGATTCTCAAACCACTGAGAATGAAACTTGGAGATGTTGGTATTTCCGAGCAAGTATGTCCTATGAGTATGAAAAAACAAAACCAAAGTAGGAAGTAAAAACACCTCCACTGATAGAGTACATTATCTATATAGATGATGTTGACAGAATCAGAAATGGAAAGTAGAAGAAACCAGTTCCTTGTCTCCTTTAGGTGGAGCCTGAAGAGGGGTACAATTGACAAAATAAGAACATAGTTCACAGAGTCCTAATCCCAGGATCTCATTTTAGGCACATAATTTTAAATGTGTATACTGAAAAGGTTATTCTTTTTGGTGCAGAGTTCTATAGGTTTTGACAAATCTGTGGATGACATCACCACCGAAATGAAGATATAGGAGCAAGTCTACCCTTCATATCTCCCTGATTCCCATTTGTAGTTAAGTGCTTCCCTAGCCTTTGCTAAGGAACTTTCCAATTATCTGTCTCTATGGTTTTGAGTTCCCTGGAATGTTAGGTAAATGGAATTAGCATGTCGTTTTGATTCTGGCTTCTTTTCATTAGCATAATGAATGTGAGATTTACCCACATTGTTCCATGTATCAGCAGTTTGTTTCTTTGCATTGTTTAATACTATTGCATTGTAGGGAGAACTACATACAGTTGGTTTATCCATTTATTCATTGAAAGATACTTGGGTTGTCTGTTGGCTTTTTTTAAATAACATTTATTAGTAGAGATACTATAAACATGAATGAGCACATTTTGTGTGATGATGAATGAGGTGGGCTGAATGGGGACCCCCCAAGATATCCCCATATTCTAATCACTGGAATTTATGAATATTACCTTATTTGAAAAAAATGGTCTTTGCCAACGTAATTAAGGATCTTAAACTGAGATCATCATGGGTTGTCACGGTGGTTTATAAATCCTGTACTGTATCCTTATAAAGGACATACAGAGAAGACACATGAAGAAGACAGGTGCATGAAGATTGAGGAAGGCTGGTGCAGCCAAGGAAGTCAGAGGTCAGCGACTTCTAGTTGTGGTCTTAATTCGCATTTGTCTGATGACTAAAGATTTTGAATATCTTTGCCAGTGCATATTTGCTATTTGTTTTTTAAATTAAACTATGTTTTCAAACAGCTTTTGAGTGTGTGTGTGTGTGTGTGTGTGTGTGTTTAGTGCTGGGGTTTGAACTCAGGTGATATGCCTTTGAGGAAGGTGTTCTACAGGGTTTTTGAGTGTTCCTTTTATGTTTCAGGCGCAAGATTATCATTAACTATGCCAATACAAATTTTTCTCTCCACTTATGGATTATCTCTCTTATATTCTTAGCAACATCTTTTGTAGAGGAAGAGTTAAGTTTTGATGAAGCCTAATTTAGTATTTTATTCTTTTATAAATTGTGCTTTGGGTTCATATATTTGTCTAACCCCAGATCCTAAAGTCATACGAACTTTATAGTTTCTCACAAATGGTTTATAACTTAACAGTTTTACATTTAGGCATATAAACTATTGTAAATTAATTTTTGTATGAGGTGGGAGGTGTAGATGCCCAATTATTCCAGCATCCTTTCCAGCCTCTGGTCATCCGAAGCTACTACTTTCCTTTGTCTCATATATTTGACATAATTTATTTGTTAGATTGTTTTTATTTTATTTTTTCTGAAAGTTTTAGTATCTGTTGTGACTTCATATTTTGGTTATATAAGGTTGCATTGTTTAATTTCTACCTATTTATGAATCTTCAAATTTCCTTGGACTAATGTTACTAATTTAATTCCATTGGGGTCAGTGGATATACCCTGTATAATTTCAAGCATTTTATGTTTATTAATACTTATTTTTTAATCATACTAGATGTCCTATCCTAGAGGATACATCATGCCTGCCTGAGATAGGTATGTAGTCCAACATTGATGGGAGAAGTTCATTAAATTTATTTATCTGATTCATAATGTTGTCCAAGTCTGCTATTTCCTTGTTGATATTTTTCCTTGTGTCTCTCATTTACTGAAAACTGGGAATTGAATCTCTATTATTGTTGAATTGACTACATTTCCCTCAATCCCGGAGGCATTTTTTGTACCATAAGTTTTAAAGTATGTGTATGTTTGCAATTAACGGATACTTCTGGTACACTGACCCTCTTTGTGTTGTAAAATATTATTCTTTGTCTCTGCCAATAATTTTTAGTATATTTTTATTGTAAAGATACTGTACAGAGGGGTTACAGTTACATGAGTAAGGTAATGAGTACGTTTTCTATGGAGCATTGTTACCCCCTCCTTTGTTTTCACCTACCATCCTTTCCCTCCCCATCTCCCTAATCCCTCTCCCCCCACAAAGTTGTAAAGTTTGTTTTCAACAGTGTCTTGCACATCTCAGTGTTACAATGGGTCAACCTCTATCCTTATTTCAGCATTTTGTTATTTCCCTTCCCCTCCCCAAATTAGAAAAATGTACATACAAGATTCAGGTATGTCCAGATGTACACACAAATACATTGAAAACAGGGGTTATACCATGGGGGGGGAG